TAAAGGCTTATAGTCAAGGAGTTCGGTCCCCAGTGTGGAAAAGAAACATGGGGCAAAAGAGAACACAACTTTGGGAAGTGAAAAGTGATGGCTTAGATTTTTGTCATGGGATTTTAGGACTGACCCATTACTGTCGTTTTTATCATACAAAGGGTAAAATTCATGTCGGTTTCCAATATACCACATGCAGAGCCAGAGAAGATAAGTCAGGAATATTTCATTTTCGGGAGGACTTGCTGGAGATGCACGAAGATAGGAACCGCTCACGAAGGGCAACAGAACTGATAAACAGAGTGCTAACATCTATCCAGAAGGTATTATAGATAAACATGGGGAAAAGATCATGATCTCGAGATCAAAATGACTGAGAACCGTATCGCAGGGTTAACTGAAGTTTCAAATGAATTAATGTACCCAAAATGGTTTGAAGAACAAAAGAGTAGAATACACACACCAAGATAATATAATTTGGGGGCAAATATTTAGGAGCAGAGGAATAGAGTGCAAACAAGAAAACAAAACAAACCCATTGCCGTGGAGTAGATTCCAGCTCATGCTCCATAGGGTTTTCTTGGCTATTGCTTTTACGGAAGCAGATTGCCAGGCCTTTCTCCCCAGGCACCGCTGGGTGGGTTTGAACTGCCAACCTGTCGGTTAGTAGTTGAGTGTAAACCATTTAGGCCACCCAGGGGCCTACAGGGTGCAAATGGATCCCTTAAATCTCTGTAGCCCCTTATATAAAGAAATCTTGAAAAATGTGTAACCTTTGGCAGACATCAGAAATACTCTTTAAAATATATCCTGAAGGGGAAGGTAGGAGGGGTAGATACATCCGAGGAGAATCAGTATTTAGTATCTAGTGGGTATTAGTGACACCGAGGACTGGAAGCCTGGTCTCACATCCCTCTAAATCCCAGGGCAGACTCAGGTTCTACTACAGCATCCAGGCTTTTCATCAATGCTGCTTCCGAGAATCTGGTTCCCCCAGGTCACCTATCTCGCGCCATCTGTTGGCAGCTGAACTAACCTGGTCTACAGGGCACCATTTCTCCTCATCTCACCCAGTCGCTTCTGAGGGAGGATGGGGAGAGTGGCACCTATGTGATACACTGGGAGGTGGCCAAAGGTGACCTGTCTCTACGGTGAATTTCTATGATGTGGGGAAGGTGATTAGGAAGGCTGGGGCCACTCCCATCGCTGGAAAGTATTTATAAAACCACCTGTCTTGTCAGCTAGCGGTAGTTAGAGGCCACAAGGCAGCTCTGTCTTTGTATTAGGGATTAGCAGAATTCTCTCGGAGGGCTGGGCATTGCCTGGGTTTCTCACACACTGCATTATTTTTACTTAGGGGATCTAGTTGACTCTAGGGCTGCAGTGATCTGCTAAAATTACCAGATACTAGTCTACTGCACCACGGACTCTAGCTCAGGTCTAAGGGACTCTGGGTCCCAGATGCTATTTTCACTCAGGAATGTTTGGTAGCCCTGCCCTGCAACCTCAATGACCACTTTTCTCCTAAAAGGACACTTAGAGAATGCTCTGGCCAGCTCAGACCGAGACACTTCTGTATCGCACATTCTTATGCAGAAACACAGCCTCTCGCCTCCTACAAGGCACGCAGCACTGACTGAGGGTCTGAATCAGGCATGGAAACACGGGCACAGTGTGGTCACATAAAGCCCCGTGGTCGGCTCGGTAATCCTGACTCCAGGTCTTCATTTCGGACAGATGTACAGGAAGAGGCGATCGCAAATTAGCAAAGTTTTCACTATGGATTCAGTGGTGAATTTGCTTGTGGAGAAGTGGGTAGAAAAAAGGATTTTTACCAGATATAGTAAAGGCTTTTCTATAAATAAACACAGTGGGGGGGGGGACACACAGAAACCAAACTCATTGCCATCGATTCCAACTCACAGCACCCTATAGGACACAGTGAAAAACAACATTTTTAGGATGTCTGAGTCAGCATGTTTACATGGCATGATAATTTACTTTGGGGTTTAATTACATTTTGTGACCAAAATCCCCAGGGTTTCTGTGTCCTTCTCAGCCTGCCTCCCCATTCATGCCCACAAGGGAGAAATCACAAACGGATATAGAATATACTTACGTGTTCAAAACACTCACAAAAATTTGAGCGTTTAAGTGCAGATTTCTGACAACTGTTTATTTCAGAAGTATATTTTATTATGTTTCCATTATAGTGTATCTGAAGAGAAACCTCAAAACCAAAATGCCAAATCACATATAAAAAGTTTGATGCTTTGAAACAAATTATTTTGAATGCTTCATTTTTATAAACGTTTGTTTTTTTTTCCTTTCTTAAACCATTGCTATCTGGTACCAACACTCCAAGAGGGGTTTCAAATCCAAGACAGAGAGGAACATGCTCAATATACACATTTCACTGTACTGTTGGCTGCGTTTTATTACTTCTTTAGAAAGATGATGTTTCCTGCCTGCCTTTGTGCCATCAAGCCACCCAGTTAGCTCCCCGAAAGAGCACCGGCAGGCTTCCCACATCCTCGCATCACACCTGTGTCCTCCTCATTCTCTACTATACCCAGAAACTCTGTCATTTTGAAAAACGAAGGTTTTGGATTCCTTCTGCTCAAAGATTACTCTTAATCTTTAATGACAGCTGTATTCTCAGCTTAACAAAACATCTGACAACTAAAAAAGACAACTTTACTTCCAAAGCCAATATTATGCACTAAAACAACTAACCAGTTGCCACCGAGTTGACTCTGACTCATTGCGACCCCATGTGTGCTGGGGCAGAACTATGCTCCATGGGGTTTTCAATGGCTGATTTTTTGGAAGTAGGTTGCCAGGCCTTTCTTCCAATGCATCTCTGGGTATAATCAAACCTCCGAACTTGCAATTAGCAGCCAAGTGTGTTAACCATTACACCACCCAGGGACTCCATACTATGCACCAGGCAAAGGATGTGACACTCCCCATTACTGCGATGTATCTCTGGACACTCAGAACCTATGTGTCCAAACTTCTCCCCCCTCCCAGTCAACACAAGAGCACAATGAGACAGTTTACAGTAGGCAACAAACAGCTTAGGTTTTCAGGAACAAACTCAATATTTATTAAAAACCAAGCAAACAAAAACTTCCTACAATACAAGCATGAATAAAAGTTAGGTGATTTGGGGAACCATTTAATATATTCTCTATTGTTAAGTGCACCAGATGCTGGACTTCTGAAATAACACTTATGCTTCAGCGTAACAGCCTTTTCTATATATTTCTGTTCATGATGCTTGTTCCTCTGATTTACCTGGAACCAATGAATCTGAAAAACAAAAAGATTCTTTAAGAACCTGACCCATATTGGGCCCCACATTACAAAATCAGCAAACATCAATCATGTTGATGGGATGGAAAACACGTCACTGAGCAGCACTTCTGAGTAATGTCCTAAGTTTATTTTCATCAGTTCACCTTTCATGCTGAATGGACACTTGGAAGATGGACTTGTTGACAGCACACGTACTAATTTTCTGCTTTTAAATGTGAGCACTCCAAAGCATAAACAGGTCACCTCCAGCAACATTTAAAAGATGCTTAAGATTAAAAAATAAAACCAAGTAATTTGTAAATTTGTAGCAGTACTTAGTGTCCAACAGAAAGCACTCCATCTGCTACACAATATCTCGACCGCAAAGCTTCTCTTACTGTTGGCTGATAGATAATGACACGGCACAGCCATTATCACCGTGGCAACAGTACCCAGGCGCTATCAGAGGAACATTGCACATGGAACTGCCGGCCCTTGAGCAGTCACGCCTCAGCTTCCTCTGGAGTATGCTTTTTCTGCAAGTCTGGTGTGCAGAGGGTACCGCCGACCCAGTGCGCCTTCGAGACTACAGATCATAGCGACTTCACAGCGTCCTGCTCTCCCGGATTCATCGTTCCAGCACTCAGCAGCTACCACGTTCCAAGCATAGCTCTAGGCACAAGTGCCTGGGAGGAAGTCAATAAACAAGCTGATAAATGTATTACCAACTAGTGCTAAGTATAACGGGGAAAAACACAGCAAACGACTGGTTTCGGAAGGCTTGCGTGTCTCCTCTGCACGCGCACGCTGCTTTATCTGCTTCTCATTTCTCACGCTGACGACGCGCTTTTGGCACCAGGGCTCCCTGGCGACTCTGCGCTGGAGCCATGCCCAGCACACAGGAAACGTCTGTCCAACGAAGCAATTCGCTTCCTAGCTCCCCATTCAACAAGCCTTTCCTGAGCCTCAATCACGGGCTTATGAGGGCTGGAAAGCCAGCGAGGCCCGAAACGCAGAGGGGAACACAGAGAAGAAGACGCTTTACAAACTTTAAAGGGAAAGTTGGTGGAGAGAAAAAACCGCGCGCCAGAGGCCGCAGCCACAAGGCCCTGGCCTCGGCGCGGGAGCCCCGGCGCGGGAGCCCGGGCAGGCCTGGCGCCCAGTGCCCCGCCCGGCCCCCGGTGCCCGCCACGCTTGCCTGCATTCGTCTGCAGGCCTCCGCAGCACCCAGAGTCACTCACCTCATCTGGGAGAGACCGACCCGGGCCTGCCCCAGCCGCGCCACTACCCCAGCGGCCAGGAACAGGCTCCGCCGACAAACCGCGTCACCATAACAACTAAACTTCCGCCTACTCCGGAACCGGAACTTTCATGTGGGAAGTGACCCCTTCCCGGCGTCCCGCGGAACGGGCGAAACCCCACCCAGCATCTTGCCCAGTCATCCTGGAATATCCCAGCAGGCCCCGGTTGCTCTTGGAAGGAAGTCATCTTGCCTCTTGTTTCTCCTCTCATTGCCTCGGAGCGTGACTTTGATGGGCATCCTCTATCTCCAATCAATGACAAAGCAGATGCCGACGGCCAATAGGAAGACTGTAGGGTGCCGCTCAGGGGTAAGGACTACCTCCAAGCTGCCGGGGCAGGACGAGTGATGTGATTGGCAGAATCGAGTAATTGCGGGCCAGTGTTCTCCTATCATGGGGAGTAGTTCCCGGCCCGCTCAATGAGGACCCTCGGGAGGCGGGCCGGCGGGCCGGGGGAAGGCCCCGGGTGGTGAGCCGAGGTCCCGGCCGTCAAGGGCTCCGGCGAGCGAGCGGCTATGAGCGGGTCCCTAAGCCGAGCGGCGGCGGCTCTGCTCCGCTGGGGGTTCGGTGCAGGCAGGGGGGGCCTGCGGGGCCCGGGCGTGCGGGCGACGGGCTCGAGCGCCGGCGGCTGCTCGGCGGAGCAGCTGGACGCGCTGGTGAAGAAGGACAAGGTGGTGGTCTTCCTCAAGGGGACGCCGGAACAACCCCAGTGCGGCTTCAGCAACGCGGTGGTGCAGATCCTGCGGCTGCATGGCGTCCGCGACTACGCGGCCTACAACGTGCTGGACGACCCCGAGCTGCGGCAAGGTCAGGGCCGGCCGGGTGAAGGAGTGGAGGTAGCAGGCGGAGGCCGCTATGCGGGTCGGAGGAGTAGCTGCGCGGCCGGAGTCGGGAGGTTCTCAGCGCGATGCGGATGGTCAGGGGTCTGGCCACGCTGAGTAGGAGGCCTATTTGCGGGTTCAGACGGGTTAGGTCATGGAGTACTGTTGTGTGTTAGAGGACTTGGGGGTGGGCGTGATGGACGGGAACCGGGCTGGTGGTCTGGGGCTCTGGCACTGTTGCCAACTTCGATGGTGGGGTAAGTCCTAGGGGTTCACCCATCCTCATTCTGAGCTGGATCGATTTGAGGGGCAAGTTCTGACCGCCTCGGAGGAGGGCAAAGAGGGAAACTTACATTTATTAAGTACCGCTTTAGAAGACACTTTGAGGGGGTTGGAGCCAGGCCTGTCTCCTGGATTGGGGGTTGGTTCTGTAGGTGGTGTAGGGAGGGCAAAGGTTGCACTTGTTTGAGGCTAGTGAGGTCAGAGGCCAGTCTGTCATAGGTCAAGTCTCAGGGTGTCAGGGTCCATCCTGTTGTAGCTAGGAGGAGTGAGGTTGTAGGACAGTTAGGCTGGTCTTGGTTGGGATCTGGTTTTAGATACTAAGGAATGGGGGATTTGTGGGGCATCTGGACTGGAGAAGTCTCTGGGTGGCGCAAATGATTTGTGTTTGTGGTACCATGGATTGCTTTTACGTGGCCTTTCCAGCCATGGTCTCATAACTCACACTAAATAATTGGGTGGGACTATGCAAATAAGGTGATTGTGGCCCACTAAGGGGATTGGACAGCTTACTAATAATGCAAATAAGGCACATATCGCCGTTGTAGGAGGTGAAACCATGCAAATAAGGTGTATGGAACACTAATGAGGGGATTGGTTGGTTTTGCCATCCCGCTAGGCTTAGAATAAGCCATCCCAGAGGTGGAAAGGGGGGACTTCACTACCACCAAGAAGAAGAGCCAGGAGTGGAGCATGTCTTGTGGACCCAGGGTCCCTGCAATGAGAACCTCCTAGACTCAGAAGACAGAGAGAGCTGTAACACTGGAGACAAGGAGAAGCAGTGGCAGAGAAACCGTGGCAGCAGAACCAGGAGACCAGCGCAACATGGCGCAGTGGGCTTCCTGGCCCATGCAGCAAGGCGGTTATAGTAGGGTTGCTGACCCAAAGAGGAAGAGAGTGGAATGCCTTTGGGCAGGAGGCTTCCTGGTGGGGTGAGGTGTCTCTTGTCTCTTATTGGTGGAGTGAGAGAGCTTTGTAACACTTGCCTGAGCAGGGCAGGGGCCAGCCCAAGGGGCCGAGGGCCAGAGAGAGACCCACCTTTGGGCACAGCTGAGGAGAAGCTGTCTTGACCAAAGAGCTGTATCCTAAGTTGTTCCTGATCCTGAATCATAATAAACCCGATAATCGTGAGTATGGTCTGTGAGGTTTGTGTCGCCATTGCAGCAAATTGCTGAACCCAGCAGAGAAGTGGAAAGTGCTGTGGGAGGGGCAGCTGGTGTCAGAATTGGTAAAAGATTGGAGTGGGGAGGTACATTTGACCACCTCATAGGGTCAGCCTCGGGCTGATGTTGATCTTGATTCTCCCCCCGCTCATGAAGTTAAAGGAGATCAGACATCTGCACTGCCATTTTCTCAGTGTTTGACCTTTAACCTAAAGGTTGCTGGTTTGAACCCACCCAACAGTGCTGTGGAAGAAAGGCCTGGCAGTCTGCTTCCATAAAGATAACAGCCTAGGAAACTCTGTGGAGCAGTTCTACTTTGTCATATATGGGGCACTGTGAGTCAGAACTGACTCAATGACGTCTGACAAGACAACAGCACATATAATACCACATCATTATGCTTACGACCCTTTTGTCTTCCCGATAAGCCAGACTGCCACCCAAGCTCTGGGTTTTATCATGGACGGGGGTGCTGCCATCTTCATCAGTGCGTGGCTTTTCTGTTTGAAAGATAAGCTGGGAGAAGCTACTCTACAATCTCTCAGCTGAGCCCTTGCCTCATGGCCAGTGTGGCCATTAGTAAAATGCCTTGTTGTTGATATCTTGCTTGGTATAAAGTTTTGAGGGTGTTTGGTTTGTGAACTTGCTCTCCCTGGTTTAATGTAACTGGAGATGGGGCACACAGGAATATGCCTGGTGAATAGGAAAGTAAGAGCAGGAGTAAGAGTGTTTACTGATAGCATTTGTTTCTGTCTTTCATCTCAGCCGGTATGCTTGGCTTCTGGTCTTAAGTTCTGAGCGTTCAACAACAGCAACAGGGATTTAACTCTTCAATTTCCTGATCATAGAGTTTCATCAGATTGTTATTTGGGTTAATAAGTGTACTGCATTTATATTGAACATAACATGTGCCACTGTTGTTGCTTAGAAAGCTAAAGACTAGTGTAAATATTTAACATTTGGAACCGGGGCAGGGTGGTGTAAGTGTTTGCCCACAGTGAGGATTGGTGTAGCCAGGGTCAGACTTTAAAACATGGAGACTGTTTGCCTCTTCACTCTTTAGGCTCAGAGCTTACCTAAAGAGACTGACAGGCTGAGTCTGATGCTTGATTTTATCAGCCAAGCACCCTTTCTAGCCCAAAGGTTACTGCTAGTAACACAGGAGAGGGCCTCATGGGAAACGGGCCTCTTCTTTCTCTGGTGCCAGAGAAGGCTGCTTCCCAAAGGGCCCAAACTCCAGGAGGACCCTCAGATATGGCTCCCATTCCAGGCACCAGGGTCCAGGGAGTGTGACGCAGAGAGGTCTCATCCTGAGACCTTGTGACCCAAGGAGCAAAGGAGACAGTGAGGCAGTATTGCCTGGCCTTCCTCAAGGTCTGCTTTCCTTCTGCCTTTTATCTGGAACGCACAGGACAGACCACAAAGGGATTGGTCCCAGTATCTGATGTCACCTTATTCTAATCCTGATTCTCACAGAGTATACTTTCTTCTCACTTATGAAACTCTCATGGGCTCATTGAAGGAACTTGGAGAATGCTAAAAAGTATAAAAGTAGAAAGGAAATGAAAATCACCTGTAATGCTATATAAACCATTATTAACATTTGGATCTAGTTCCTAGCATTTTTTTTTAGCTTGTCTCCATACCTCTGCGTGGTATTTTGCCCTCCTGAGAGCAGGGGACACGCCTCCCGTGACTGCCTGGGGTCCTGTGCATCGTGCTTGTGCAAAGCAAGCTCTCAGTGAGTGTTTCAGCGAATAACTAAATGCTTCTTTTGTTTATCATTATATCCTGGATTCTCTCCCATGCTCTTAAAAATGTTACAGATACTGTCTTAAATTTTTGCTTATTTGGAGGATCATTAAGGAGCCCTTGTGGTGCAGCGTTGAGCGCTCGGCTGCTCACTGAAAAGTCAGTGGTTCGAATCCACCAGCGGCTCCGCGGGAGAAAAAACCTGGCAATCTGCTCCCATAAAGATTTCGTCCTTGGAAACCCTATGGGGCAGTTCCACTCTGTCCTATAAGGTTGTTATGAGTTGGAATCAACTCCACAGCACACCCCAACAGAGCACCGTTGCATTCCTTGCACTGGGAATAATGTCTGACAGTAGGAACTCCAATACTTATTGAATGAATAGTCAAACGAGAATTTGAAAATATGTTCAACCTCCCCAATACCAGGGAATTTAAAACTTTGGAGGAGTAGCTATCAGGACCCAGTCAAGTTGAGGGTGAGCATAGTCTAATACCCAGCTGCTTCACTCCTAGGTATGTAATCTAAAGAGGGGTTGGCAAACTTTCCACGTAAAGGGCCCCAGAGTAAATACTTTAGACTTTGTGGGCCATGTGGTCTGTCAGAACTACTCAGCTTTGTTGTTGTAGCATGGAAGCAGTTGTGGATAATACATAAACAAATGAGTGTGGCCAAGTTCCAATAAAACTTTATTTACAAAGACAGGAAGTGGAACAGATTTGGCCTACAGGCCATAGTGTGCCACCCCTGGTCTAGAGTAGCCCCTGCACAGGTGTGTTAGGAGACATATGTAAGAGTGTTCATTGCAGCAATAACCAAAAATTGCAAGAAGGGGTCATTGTTAGTAGCAGACTGGATCATACAGTGGAAAACTAGCCTGCACTAACAATCAACTAGATCTAGAAGTATTAACATAGCTAAACATCAAAAATAAATTTTTATTGAAAGCAAGTTGCTAAAAGGTAATTATCATATAAATGTTACCAGGCATATAAATGTTAAAGACGTGAAACAGTGTCATACATCGCAGGTACATGTAGTGCAAGTGTCTGTAGCTCATGGGCAGAAGTGACAGATGTCAGCCACAGGCTGGAGTCACCTCTGGAGAGGGACTAGGGTGGTATGTGGTTAAGAGCCTGGGCTTTGGACTCCTAGAAACTCCTAGAAATCCTGTTCTACCATATGCTGACACTGGCTTTGGGTAAGTTACTTGATGTCTCTGAGCCTTAGTGCCTTCATCTATAAAATAGGGATAATTATACCTACCTTGTAGGATTTTTGCAAAGATTAAATGAGATTATTATGTATAACACGGAGTAGGAAACTCAGTATGATGGCTAATAATCAGCATAAGTCAAATCCCTACTTTTCTGATCAATTCATTTCTGACACCAGCCACCCATGCAGCACTCTCTGACCCTATCTACCCGGAGCTAGGTCAGATGTTATAAGTTAAAAGGACACTGACCTTCAGATGTAAGCCGCAAGCTTGGAAGTCTCCCTGGCTCCCTAACTTCTGGCCTACTGGTTACAGATCCAGGGGTTTCCCTCTACCCCTTCAGGCTGCCAGCCACAAGCTCGGGAGTACCTTCTGGCTCTGTAGCTTCTGACCCACTGCTCCCACAACTCCTCTGGGTTCAATAACTCACTGGAAAGGCTCACAGAACTCACAGGAAGTGCTATGCTTATGATCACTGGTTTAATGTAAAGGTTATGAAGCAGGATCAGCATAAGGAAGAGACAGACGGGGCAAGGCCTGGGAGGTCTCTCAACATGAAGCTTCCATGTCCCA